TAGGTGGGAGTATGGGTGACACCTGGTGTGGTCTGATGACAGTGTGGGGTCCATGTCCCCAGCCTGTGCTGATACCCTAAGTCTGATCTGAGAGAGGCAACAGAAGGAGCCAAATAAAAAGGAAAAGCTATCATCTCTGTCTGCTATCAGATGTCCACTGGGCCCAGTGGCCCAGGGTGGCAGAAAGGCCTGAGGTCTGGGGGCTCACTGTGGAATGTCGGTCTCCCACGGCCTGATTCCCACAGGTAGGTACCTGATTCATGGCAGGGCCCTAGGTGTGGCTGAACAGTGTAAGGAGCACTGTGGGAAATGACATTATTTGGGGAGGGGGAGCGGCACCAGGAGACTCAGGATGCAGTCAGCCTCATCTCTGGGACCCGTCACCCTGCAGAGCTGCTGTCTGCAGTGAGCCACCATGAGGGCTGCAATGGTTGAAGAGTCCGGACCAGTCTCAGGAAAGGAAGCCTAGGGCCGACCAGGGACTGGGGGTGGGTGAGTCCTGCCTGTACCCTGAGTGTGGGTGAATGGAGCTCCCAGGGAAAATTGGTCCAGTGCATAGAGCCAGGGCCTCTATGATGAGAGGCAGACATAGAATCAGGAAAGATTATGAGGAGGAGGTTAAGGGAATTAGGGCCAAATCTGCTGAGAAAGTGGGAGGCACAACCAGCCCTCCCAGAGAAGTCTGGAGAGCTTTTGCATCTAAGACGAGCACTCCCAAGCTAGTGTCTGGCTTCACTCATGCTGACCAGGCTGATGTTGCAGCTGCTGCTGGCTGGGGTGAGAACCCAGATGTGCCAGAGGAGGGCTGGGGGCTCTCTGGTCTCCTTGGAGAGCTGGACACTTGCCAGCTTGGAGAAGAAGAGTTACACAGCTCGGAATGGGGGCTATCACAGAAGCTGGAGAGACAGCCATAGACCCCAGGATAAGTGAAGGGTCCCCAAAACAGTCAAGATGAGGCTCAGTGCCTTAATTAAAGATATACTTGCTTTCTGCAAGTGAGACACTGGCTGGCCCACTTGGCATCCTGCCCTCGGCCCATAGGTATCAGGGTTCCCAATTTCACAGGGCAGGTGGCTGCCGCACAGATCACAGGAAAGCTTTGACTCTGGGCAGAGGAGTCCTGGGGTCCAACCAGGAACAAAATGTGGGAATCTGGCCCCAGACCTGCCCACTGAGCCTTCCATTTCATGGAGAGGCAGTGCCACCGTCTGATAGTGGAAAGGAAAGAGCCAGACAGGCCTGGGATCCAGTCTCTGCTCTGCCACTTACTACATGTGTGACCCATGGCATCACTTGACCTCTCTAAGCCTCTAGTTCCTCACCTTTGACACAGATGATTCTACCTCAGGGTGGCTGTGAGGGTTAACATTTGTTCGTAATGTAGTTTCTGGCAATTAGAAGGCTTTCATAAATTGTTACTGTTTGTATATTATTATAATCTCAGACCAGTTTGGACAATGCTTCTGCCTAGCTTCAGACCCAGATTTTTATGTCCTGGAAACATGATGAAATGACCAGCAAGTCCTGTTTTCTTAAGTTGCAGGATAGAGAGAGCTCAGAGTTCTGGCCCAGTTTCACGGTCAGTGCAGGAATGGCGAGAGCGCCCCCTGCACGTGGAGGCGTGAATGTGCAGCAGATGTGTGAAGTCAGAGGGAGGGATGTGAAAGTAGTTCTCAGTCTCTTCACTTTCCAGCTGAGTGAGCTTGGGCAAAATGCTCAAGGGACTTGAGCCTTGGGGTTCCCCTCTGTATAACAGGCTAAAATAAGTACTTACATCGTAGGCTGTTGTGCAGACTAAATGAGATAATGCATTTCAAGCACTTAGCGTAGTGCCGGTAAGCACTCACTGAGTGGAAGCTGTTAAGACATATTCTGTTCAGTAGGTTGTTATAAAGACAGAATGCATGGGAGAGTGTTTTATAAATTAAAGTCCACATACATTAGCTATTGTTTTATCAGGGCCATGTGTTTTGTATATTTTCACGCTGATAGGTGTTTGCCTAGCATTCAATTTTTGTTTTAATGCCATAAAAGTTTTCTGATGTGTACACATCACAGGAGTGCTTATCTAGGCGTGTGGACATCTAAATATTTGTGTGTGCATACATGTATGTATTGACCTAACAGGTACTCCCTGCCTCTCCTGATGCATTAGAGTCTCCTGGACCAGAATGCCCTTCATTATGGGCCATCTGGGTTTTCTGAAACCCTTGATTTTTTAAAATGTTTATTTATTTTTGAGAGAGAGAGAGACAGGGTGAACGGGGGAGGGGCAGAGAGAGAGCGAGACACAGAATCCCAAGCAGGCTCCAGGCTCTGAGCTGTCAGCACGGAGCCTGACGTGGGGCTTGAACCCACAAACTGCAAGATCATGATGTGAGCCAAAGTCGCCTGCTTAACTGACTGAGCCACCCAGGCGCCCCTTGCTTGATTTATTTTTTAAGTTTTATTTATTTACTTTGAGAGAAAGAGAAAGCATTATGTGGGGAGGGGCAGAGAGAGAGTGAGACAGAGAATCCAAAGCAGGCTCCCTGCTGTCAGCACAGAGTCCGACGTGGAGCTTGAACTCATGAACCATGAGATCATGACCTGAGCCAAAGCTGGACGCTTAACTGACTGAGCCACCCAGGCGCCCCTGATTTTTAAAAATCTGCTTCCCAAGACTGTATCCATTCTCCAAGATGACTGACTTACTGTGGAGAGGAGCAGCTAAATCTGTGGAGAGGAATGGGCGTTGTCAACCGAGACCAGCTAGGCTTGTCCAAATATAGAGAAAAATAGTACAACGATAGCTATTAAGTGAATATAGAAGGGAAAGCACTAGAAAGAGAAACCACATATGTAAGACAGAGTTGCTAAAAGTCATGGCTAAAAGATACAAAGGACCCGTATACCTCAAGACAGAAATTATATAAGATTGCTACCAACCGTCCACTCAAATAGCGCTCGAAGGAGAGGGAGTCAGAGAAGAATAACAAGTAGATGCCTTCAGTAGTCCACGGCTCATAAAGGGCTCCCATACACGCAGTCTCTTGGCTTCTCTTAGGAAGTCTGGGCCTTCCAACTCCTTTCCTTATGCTCGTTGCCTCCATCACAGGAAGCAGCACCTTGTCTGTCTAGCAAGGAATGAGACATACCAGCAAAAATAAACAACAGTTAAGACTGATGTTGCCAGGGATGTGGAGAAGAGGTCGTGGGAACAGATTTCTAGTTGTTCTGTAGATCTGTTCCTTTTTTTGGTGAAGAACAAGCTGGCAAAGTCACAATAAAAACACTCCAAGGAGGGCGCTTGGGTGGCTCAGTCGATTGAGCATCTGACTCCAGCTCAGGTCATTATCTCACTGTTTGAGCCCCACATTCAGGCTCTCTGCTGTCAGCTGTGGAGCTCGCTTCCGATCCTCTGTCCTGCTCTCTCTCTGCCCATCTGCTGCTCACTCTCTCTCTCCAAAACAAAAATTAAAGAAAAAAACACTCCAAGGGAGTAATTTAAAAAGAAAAACAGATTTGCCAAAAGGCAGTCCCAGAGTCCCACGGTGAAAGATTTGAAACAATAAAAATGCCCAACCATAGGGGCGTGGCTAAGAAACTTTGGTGTTCTAACAGTAAAAATAATCGTGAGTTAGTAGCGCAGGTCACAAAATGGTCCGTGCCCACTGATTATAACTGTAGACAGACATGCAGGTACATGAACACACCCTGCAAGAATTTGGAAGGATGCAAACAGAGTTAGTATCTATTAGGTTCTTCAGAATTGTTTTTTAAAGGTGAAAGATTTGTCTCCTTAGAGGGCCTTCCAAAGAGGGGTAGGTAGAGAAATGTTTTGAGCGAGGACAGTGAGGACAGAGTGTCCTGAGTGGATTCCTTTGGAGGGACCTCACCTCACTGGATGTGAAACCCAGGTGCTTGCTGATGAGAACAGGACTACATCATGTTTTTCTTACAGTGTGTGTGTGTGTGTGTGTGTGTGTGTGTGTGTGCGCGCGCGCGCGAGCACATGCTCACACAGATACCAGAAGGCTGCAGCTGTCCCTGGTGCAGGGTGCAGGGTGAGCTGAGCTCAGGAAGCCCTCGGTGAGAAGAGGGATTTGCTTAATTATTCCTGTCCTGACAGCCCCATAGGGTTTCCTGACACCCAGTCATAGACCAAGGGTAGAAAGGGCCATGGGGCACAGATCTGAGAGGGCTCTGTTACCTCTACCTTGGATTAAGGTCCGACTTACCCATCCTTCTGAAGTTGGCTTCCTTCCCCCACCCCAGCTTGCAGGTCCACTTTCCCTTCCACTGCTGACCTCAGCGTCTTCCTTGCTTAGGGTGCACTAAGGCTGGGGGCAGGCAGAGGTAGGAACTAGTGTCCATGCAGGCACACCCTGGGCACTTGGTTGGTGCTTTCATCTTCCTCTGCTTCATCCAGCCAGTCTTAACTGGGCCAGGCCCTGGGCAAGGGGGCCAGGGCACACCTGCCCACTCCAGGACCTCACAGCCCAGCGGGGAAGCTGGGGAGAGAAGAGAGGATGACTTTTTTTCAGTTCCCTATGAAAGCAGGCCGGCCAGACAGCCGCGGAACAGAAAGGCCAGTCCATCTGTCTAGCTGCAGGCTCACGGCTCAAATCCCCTGAGACAGGCAGGCCTCATGAAGGCAGAGCTGGAGGAGCTCCTTCTAAAGGCTGCAGCTGGCCCAGCGGCTTGCTGTTCTGCAGAAAATGGGCCCAGAGTTCCCACATCTTCATGCCCGAAGTCTGAAGCTCTGTGCAAGCCAAACCCATTCTGTACGATGAATATGGCCTGCAGTCCTCCGTTTGAGACCTCATTTGGGGGTGGGGGGAGCGGGGGCGGCAACGGCAGGCTTGAGCAGGGGCAGCTGGCTGGGCTGGGCTTACCAGCCTTGGAGCCCCAACCTGATGCTCTTTCTTCCGGTCTCTCCCCTTCTCCCGACTCTCACCCTGTGATCATTCCCATCATCACTACCAGGCCACTAGATGGCACCATGAGCCCAGCATTACCCAGTGGCCGAGCACACCTGGGTCCCCAAGTCCCTGAAAGCCAGCCACTGGTCCTGCCACCCCACTGCCATGAGCCACCCTGGGGACTTCTTGCCTTTTTTCTTTTCGCTTTAAGTTTTTATTAAGTCAGAAAGGCCCCCCTTTTATGTCGGGTTCATTCTGTTCTAGACCAGCACTGCCCAAGAGAAACGTAATACAAACCATGTTTTTAGTTTTTAATTTTCTGGTAGGTATCTTTTTAAAAAGTGAAGAGATGGAGGAGGTGACAGTAATTTTAATCATGTTTTATTCTGCCCAATATATCAACATTATTATCACTTCAATATGTACCCAATGTACACAGTATTAATGAGATCTTTTACATTGCTTTTTGTACTAAGTATTCGAAGTTCAGTGTGATTTATACTTCCAGCACATTTAAACTAGCTACATTTCAGGGGCGCCTGGGTAGCTCATTGGGTTGAGTGTCTGACTTCGGCTCAGGTCATGACCTCATGGTTCGTGGGTTCAAGCCCCGCATCGGGCTCTGTGCTGACAGCTCAGAGCCTGCAGCCTGCTTTGGATTCTGGGTCTCCCTCTCTCTCTGCTCCTCCCCTACTCTCTCTGTCTCTCCCTCTCTCTTAAAAATAAATAAAACATTGAAAAAAAATGAAATGCTTTAAGTACCTCAGTAGTCACATTTGGCTAGAGGCTATGGAATCTTTGGGCTGGGCAGTTGTCGGCCCCATGGAGGGCCTGAGTCCCTTGCTCCCAGGGTTAGCTTCCAGGCCGTAACATGGAATTCTGTCCAGGGTGGACACTGACTTAGAGTCTAGGGGTCTCAGGCACCCGACTTACCACCCTTTGCAGGAGGTCTCATATTTAAAAAGACATTAGCACATTCCCAGAGATTCCTGGACCAGGGAACCAAGCTCACTCTCCCTACCCCACTAAGATGAGGAGGAAGCCCCCACCCATGGCAAGAGAGCAACCTTCACCCATGGCAAGAGAGCAACAATGTCACTGCCCTGGAGTGCCCTGCATTTTGCAAACAACGATAAGTTTCCTTTATGGAGCAATAATTCTTAATTTAATATAGTCAAATTTATCAAACTCGAAAATTTGCCCCAAAGCCACACACTATTTTCAAAGCTTATTGGCCCCCCGGGTGCCTTTGCAGCTCCCCAGCCTCCCCCTCAGCCCCTAGCACGTGGCTCTTCCTCCTGTCTGTGGCCTGCTCCTCCCTCTCTCTGCCAGTCACACACCCTCTTCCACCTTGTCCCAGCCCTTTCTGGAAGCAGCATTTCTGAAGCCGGCCTGATACACAAACCCAAGCTCTTTCTTTCTGCTAAAATGACTCATCTTGCTCCAAACCAGCCCCTGGATCTGGGGATCTGGATAAGAGATTGGCGTCTGGTTGAGATACAGTTTGAGATGAGTGTCTCTCCATCTCTGGCCTCAGTTTTCTAATCTGTGATATCAAAGGATCTGAACTTTACAACCTCTGAGCCCCCGGCCCTCCTCTACCTTCCCACCCCCATCCTGGATGACCATAGGGTCTTAGGTTTTTTTCCCTCACCCTCTTCTACCACCCGCCCCAACACACACACATGTACACACATGTACGGTGGTTCCAGGGTTCCAGGTCGTCCTTATGAAACTATGTAAGGAGAGGGATCAGGGACATAGAAAGAGATGAGGAGAATAGAGAAGGAGGCTGAAACAGAGGGAGAAGACACGAGAGGAAATGAAGAAAGACAAGAGACAGTAGGAATCAGAGAGGACAGTCTACCAGAACTTCGGGGCTGCGATCTGCCCCAGGCAGCTCCTGAACAGAAATATCTTTGCTGCTCTTTAAAAGCACCCCACGGGGGGCGCCTGGGTGGCGCAGTCGGTTAAGCGTCCGACTTCAGCCAGGTCACAATCTCGCGGTCCGTGAGTTCGAGCCCCGCGTCAGGCTCTGGGCTGATGGCTCGGAGCCTGGAGCCTGTTTCCGATTCTGTGTCTCCCTCTCTCTCTGCCCCTCCCCCGTTCATGCTCTGTCTCTCTCTGTCCCAAAAATAAATAAACGTTGAAAAAAAAAATAAATAAAGTAAAAAAATAAAAAATAAAAAATAAAAGCACCCCAGAGGGTGCCTGGGTGGCTCAGTGGGTTGAGTGTCTGACTCCTGATTTCAGCTCAGGTCATGATCTCACAGTTTGTGGGTTCGAGCCCCGCGTCGGGCTTTACGCTGACAGTATGGAGCCTGCTAGGGATTCTCTCTCTCTCCCTCTCTCTGCCCCTACCCTGCTTGTTCACACACACACTCTAAATAAATAAATAAATAAACTTAAAAATGAATAAATCAAAGCACCCTTGGAAAGCTCTGATGGGCATGAGATGGAACCCACACTTCCTCCCTTGACACCCCTCCGCCCCACCCCTTGGTGAGGTGCTCAAAACCAATTCGGGCAGGATCCTCCCGTGGTGCTCAGGCTTCCCTCTCCTCCTGGAGCCAGGAGCCAGGCTGTGACCTGAGCACCTCTGGGGGTTGGAGGTCAGGGTCGAGGTAGGATGCCAGAGGTCCAGGGCCCAGCGTTTCCCAGCAGATAAGAGGAAGTGCACAGACGGGAGGAAGTGGATGGAGTCTGCTCCAGCAGAAGAGAAGCAGAGGCTCAGTTTCCCAGGACGGTTGAAGACATACCCTTTTGTGAGCCACTTTGTCTTTTTCCCCTTCCAGAGCCCCCAGCCCAGAGAAGCAGGTTCTGTGGCTGCAGCAGAAACCAGAGGCCCACTCAAGTCCCTCTGGGCTGGGCTGGGCTGGGCTGGGCTGGGCTAGGGCAGTACGCTGCTGGGTGGCTCTCAGGGGAGAGGGGAATTGAAAAGGAAAAGCATCTCGGAGGAGGGTGGGGAGAGAGGGAGGCTGTGTGGTGTACTCTCTCTCTCTCTCTCTCTCCTGGACTTAGCCTAAGCCTCACCCGAGAGAGGAGTGTCTTCTGTCTGTTCTTGGAGCTGCTTTCTGTCACTTCCCCGCCCATCTGTGCTGTCAGCAGCACCGGCAAAGTTGGCCTCAAACTTGAACGGGGCTGAAGGCTCCAGCTTTCCGAAGCTCCGCGGGGGGCATCAGGCAGGCCTCAGCCTCTGAACTCTGGCTGGCCCAGAGAAGTCGACCCCCTCCCCCTGCCAGGCTCCCACTGGCCCTTGCTCCCGTGGGTGACCTTTCTGCCCCTGGGCCCCCAGTCTGGGCTGAGGAATGGTGTGCTGAGGTGCCCCTGGAACTGATCGTCTCAGTCTGGAGCTGGAGCAACCCAAGGCCCGAGCCGACATGGCCAATCCTGTGCAGCCTCAGTTTCCCCCAGCCCGGGAGCCAGGCACTGCCTCGCCCACAGACCTGCCGGAGATGGAGAAGCTCCTCACTAAGGTGGAAGGCAAGCACGACAAGCCACTGAAGCTGTCCAAGTCCCTCTCGGGGGCCTTGGACCTGGAGCAGAATGGCCATGGCCTGCCCTTCAAGGTGGTGTCAGAGGGGCACCAGGAAGCCACACTCCCCTGGTCACCCTCTCGAGCCAGCTCTAGGCGGGCATCCTCCGTTGTCACTGCCTCCTCTGCCCAGGACCAAGAAGTCCCAAGAGATTACCTCATCCTTGCCATCACCTCCTGCTTCTGCCCCGTCTGGCCCCTCAACCTCATCCCCCTCATCTTTTCTATCATGGTAAGTGCTGCTGGGTTTCAGGGCAGGGGCAAGGCCAGGGCTCAGCAGGCATGGTCCTCTGGGAGGCACCAGACACTCTGTCTGGGTGCAAAGTAGGGGGGCTGGGGGCTCGGGAGAAGACTCCCCTTCTCACCTGGCCTGCTACCCCCCCCCCC